AAGGCGCAGCTGGAGGCAGACACAACAGACAGGGACGCGCGACACACGCTTGTTGCTGGGGACATGAACGCAGCGCTGTACCCAAGCGACAGGACAGTGGGGGAGGAGAGTCCTCGCACATACACCCACGATCGCGCGCACAGGGCCGCGGTGGCGGGCCTGCGACTGGCGCCCGTCGACGCACTACCCACACCAGATGCGACACACGCCAGGCTGAAAACATTCCGGAGACAAGGTAAGGGCTTGATCAGCAGAATTGATGATGTGCTCACAACAGTCCCACAGGAGGAGATGGCCAACATGCGGGGCGAGGTGGAGGTGCAAACTCACTGCATGGAAGGGGCCAGCACTGATCACGACGCACTCGAGGTCAGACTGCCATGGGCAGCTCTAGGCATGGAGCCGCTGCAGGACCTGCCGCCGCTCCCAAGGGGCCCGCCCACCAAGCTGCTCAAGCTGCCCATGTCACAAGAAGACAAACAGAGGCTGACTCAAGCAGTGAGGGAGAAGCTTGGGCCGGAGCTCGCTGACCTGCAAGCAGAGCTCCTCAACGCGCGTGAGAAAGACTTGGACCCGCACAACGCGTACCTTCTGCAGAAGGACCCTGGAGAACGGCACAGGCTGGCGACCATCCAGGGTGCACCGGCACACCAATGGATTGACCAGGTGTCAGCAAAGGTGTGTGACATTTTACAAAAGGCACAGGCGCTGGCCATAGTCACCTGCACCACAAAAATGACCAACCCTGGGGGCAAACACTTCAAGCCGCGGGGGCCAGCGAAACAGTGGCGCCGCATGGCCGAAATGCGCAAGGCGCTGGCAAAACACCACCGGGGTACGTGCAGTGTGCTGCCAGCAGAGGTGCTCTCGGCGCTCGCAGCCATGAAAGGGGGCGCAGGGGCGACCCACCCGCCCGACCCAACAAGTCATGAGGGGCCAGACAAGCCGACACGAGAGGAGCTGATCGCCCTCAATGCAAAACTCAAAAAGGAGATGGAGGCCATGTCCAAGGAGCAGTCCCGGGATGAGGCCACAGCTAGGAGAAACCAGATGATCAAGCTGGTGGCGCAACGCCCCCGGGTGGGCAACAAGATAGTCCTGGGCACTGCAGGAGAGCGCCCCGAGGCCGCTCTGCGGGTGCTGCACAACCCCACCACTGGCAAAAACACAACCAATCCTGAGGAGATAATAGGCATAGTGATAGGCTTCATGTCCCAAAAAGTGGCTGCCCCGCGCAACAGCAAAAATGGGAAATACCTGCCTGCAGAGGCACCCAGGAAATACCCATTTGAGGCGCCCAACCAAACAGATGCGTTCCAGCTCCTGGCCCCTGACCAAACGGGCCCCGGTTGCCGGCGCTGGCTGCATGGAAACGTCGCGGACGTGGCGGCCTACCACGCATGCGTGCGCACACTGGCGCGTGGCAAGGCCCCGGGGCCTGACGGCGTCGTCAACGAGGTGCTGCAGGCGCTCCCGCAGGCCGGTCACGAAGCGTTGCACACCTTG